TGTGTGTGTGTGTGCGTGTGTTTGTGTGTATAAGTGCTCAACAAACTATTACGGGTTAGAACTTTCGTGATACTTCTGGAAATATTAGTCATCATCAGACATCGGTAGAGTTTCTTTTGGCAATTGGCATCAAAATTTACCTTTGCTGTTAAAAGTGGCAGAAAAAAAAGTGCAACAGCAAGAACAGTACAGCCGAATAAGCAATAACGGCAAAGGCCGTTGTCATCGTCATTTACCATCGTTGCAGTTGACCACACAGACTGATTGTCAGCAGTTTGTCAAAGCAACAGTTTTTCAGTGAATCCTTATTTTAGCATTATACTGTTTCCTAGAATTTTGCTTAGCGCTAATGTTTGACAGAATTTGCTGAAGCCACAAAAAGATAATCTACACTGGTGTCAAACTACCAATTAATAAATAGTTATAAGCTTTTATAAACACTATTTATGCAGCAAATATGCAATGTTAATTGGAATAGAAAGTTGAAATTTTTTTCTGCTATTGTTGGTAACTAAGTCAGAGTCGGTAAATTCAAATCTTTGTAAACATCGGATTTAATTTTGATTCTTACTGGAGAATGATGGCTTCTATATTTCTTTCTCTTTGCTACATTTTTTGTTTCTTGAATTCGTTCTTTTAATTTATCGCCTGATTAGTGCATTACTGGTTAGTTTACTTAGGATTTTATTTGGTCGTTGCTATTAGGTACAAAAAATGTCTTAATCACTGTTGTTGTCGTTTAGTGGTAAATAGTTTCATTTTTTTTCATAATTTATGCTCTCTATTTGCTTTGATGGAAGGGCAAAAGTGAAGAAGAGCAATTTGTTACTTAAAAATAAAAGAAGATGAAACTTATAAAACGTTTTTAAAAGCTGCTAATTTTCTGACTGTTTTCTTTCTTTATTCTAATGAATTGTTGTTTAATGAAGTGTTCTTTGTTTTCTTTTTGCTTGTATACTCTAATTAGGTATCGGTAAATTTAGTGAAGATGGGAAATAACCAACTGTTTGAAGCAGGGCTAGACC